GGGGGGGGGGAAGCTGCTCTTTAAAAACACAACAGTCCAGAAACAGTGAATGGAAACACAAACATCCTACTTTAAACCCAAATGCAGCTGGGAATTTAGAGGAAGCACAGACGGTAAAATGAGCCACTTTTGCGCAGTTTGCTCTTCGTAATAATAATGTGGTAGCAGTGTCGAGTAGTGTGCAATACACAGATTGTCAACAGATGCAAACATTTTATTTCCTACACACCTAACACAGTTTATTAATAAGATATACTGTACATATTACTTAACAGTGAACAGTTACAGATTGCTGAGGTGACTGAACTGGCAGATTGCCCGGTTCCTCTGTGATTAGGGCGGTGACAGCAGGTTTGCTTTGAGAGGCAGTAACTGCCAAAGCAGATGATTTACTGAAAAGAGCGACTATTATTTCCTGCCTTTCATGTTCGCTGTAGCGGTTTTTACTCGGTGTTCGAGGGTGTTTAGGCTACTTGTGGGAAATACTTGCACACATTTGGTTTTGGTATCCCTGCCAGCATCTGTGAGCTCTTCTAGTAAGCGAAATGCATTTGTAGAGAAGTGGCTAAAGCGCAGCTGCAGGTTTTTGGGAAGTTATCTTGCAAGTATTCACCTTCTCACCTTTGTGAAAAGGGGAAAGCTGTGAAAGGCCATGGGTGTCAAACATTAGGCCCGGGGGTCAGAATCGGCCAATACTCCAACCCAACCCACTGGACATCTTTGGGAAATGTGAAGGAGGGAAAAGACTTTGGACATTTAACTGTATTTTCATAAATCTATATTTGAATATAATCTATCCACAATAGAAATTTCTGGGGTTTTTTTTACAATGTGTCCACAGTACAATAAATAAATAAAATAGAAAAGTTTTGTGAATTAACAAAAACTTCCAGCTTTATAATAACAGAAGAGTCTGGGCAATGAGCTACCAGAAGTTTTTTCTGTAATTTTAAATATTTATTTTAAGAATTGAAGCCCTGACAGTCATGCTGACAGATTGCTTTGGTTGCTTTTTTAAACATGTGGTTAAACTGTTGAAATTGCACTTCTTTTTCTTATACTGACCTATTGCAGGGATTAAATATGCAGCTAAAGTTATTTATACTGACAGAAAGGGGATTTTTACTGGTCCGGCCCACTTAAGATCATAGCCCGCTGTGTGTGGTCCCTCATATAAATGGCTCTGATATCCTCGCATTAGGCAATCGCTGTGTGCAAGTTTGATTCAGTCCTGACCAGCATGAGGAGCAGCAATTGACTGTGGCATAAATTCATCTGGTGGGATAAACTAAAAATTACAGTGTTGCACGTGAAGATATAATGTATTTTAGGTATGACACTGCACAAAAGTATTTTAGATATATATCTAAAATTTTAGTTGCTGACAACAGCATTAATAAAAGCGCACATATGCACACATTATGAGCTGCTGCTATTAAAGATATGCCAACTTAACAAGCTTAGAAAGCTGCAGTGTCCTTGCACGAATCACCAGATTAGGAGAGTTACCACAGACTAATGCAAATGTCTCATTATCTGTATTTGAATATATGCGTGCATGTGTGTGAACAAGTGTTTATAAGGAGCTTGGAAAGAAAAGCGTCTGGACTTCTTTAAGTTGCTTGAAGACGTTTCACATCTCATCAGAGAAGCTTCTTCAGTTCTAAGGTCAAATGGTGGAGAGTCCCAGATCAGCCAGGGTTTCGGGTGAGCTCATTGTGAAACCTGGCCCCACCCTATCATGTGATTTCCTGAGGTCAGATGGCCCAGGATGTGAGTGGGCGTTAAGGCGTCTGGGAAGGGAACTCAAAACTGGATTATAGATGGCAGACGGTGTCGTAAACCACCGCCTCTGTTCAAAGATGGTCGCTCACAGTGGACATAGATGGCTTCTTTCACTCCTCTTTCAAACCATCTGTCCTCTCTGTCCAAAATGTGAACATTGGCATCCTCAGAAAGAGTGACCTTTGTCCTTTAGATGCAGATGGACTGCTGAGTCTTGTCCTGTGGAGGTGGCTCTTCTGTGTTGTGCCATGCGCTTGTGAAGTGGCTGTTTGGTCTCTCCAATGTAGAGGTCTGGGCATTCCTCGCTGCACTGTACAGCATACACCACATTGTTAAGTTGTGTTTTGGACGTTTTGTCTTTCGGGTGAACCAGTTTTGTCTGAGCGTGTGCCCATCACACCTGGGCCATCTGACCTCAGGAAATCACATGATAGGTGGGGCCAGGTTTCACAATGAGCTCACCCGAAACCCTGGCTGATTGTGACCCACACCCGTTTTCACACCTTGGCTCATGTGATTAGGTAGAGGATCATCAGGGGGTCCTTTTGTCCCTCTTTGGGGGGAAACTCCCACTGGGTTTAAATCTGGGACTCTCCACCATTTGACTCCTGAAGAAGCTTCTCAGATGAGAGGTGAAACGTCTTCAAGCAACTTAAAGAAGTCCAGACGCTTTTCTTTCCAAGCTCCTTAGACTACGATGACCTGGATGACTGAGAACCTTCACAGACAACAAGCGTTTATCTGAACCTTGTGTCCAAAGTATAGCCATTTCTCCGGGCATCGTCCAATGTAGTGCGGTTCCCGGGGGGTCTCCACCACAGACACAGTTTCTCTCTTGCACACGTATCCATGGAGATCACTGCATCTGCTCAGTGCCCACTTCCCTGCAACGTGCAGAGCAGATCTCAGCGCTGGCATAGGGTAATACACGCGAACGAGGGCGAGCGTTTCCATGTGCACGCGCTTACCTGACGAAGAAGACATGGTGACACACGCCCTTCTTCTCCAAAGATCATCGCCAACAGCCACTTCATCAAATTTCTGAAAGTCTAATGTAGTCTTGTCACTCCACCTGCAAATGAATACATGAAAAAAAAATTGTTAATGAGGATTGTTACACGCCTGAGTGCTCTCACCTTAATAACCCCATTTTTCATTGGCACTAACCTTCACCTCATTACCTGTGACTGACAGGGTTTCACTGCTGCTGTTTTCATACTTAATATAATTGGCTTTAAAGCTAACATTAACAACTGCTGGCCAATAAGTAAATGCAGTCATGCTCATACAAGTGAACTGGAGTAGATTTTCCCATTACAAACTGTGCTGTGAGCCACCGTACCTCAAACGCCTGAAGCTGCAGCTGTGAGCCTCGATATCGGTCATGTTTCCATGTAAATATTGGACAAATTTTAACCCAAAATTGGAAAAAGAAAATGCAGTATTGAGGTACGAACGCAGTGATTTTCTCCACGTCAAAACATCAACTTAAAGAGATGATGTTGTTACTGATGGAAACGTGTTCTTTATGTTACTGTCTCCTCATGAGACCACACAGATGATTTCACTGCAGCTATTCTAGTCACTTTATGTAAGTGACTAGAAGTAATTTAAGTAGAGACTTAAGTGATGGACAGTGAAGATTAGCTTTAAATTTTATTCACAATTCTAATTTATTAACGTTTGAAATATTTTGCAATTTTGTGACTTTTTCCAACTTCTGTTTAAGTTTTTTTATTTTAAAAAAATGAGCTTTTTTCTGTTTTTTCCACTGTCTTTCACCCACTTCATGTCCCTCCCCCCACTTTAAAGGCCAGTTGTTTATGCTGCTTTTCCTTAGTCATGTAAGGCCCATTTCACCAAATCTGCAATAGTTTGCAGCGTGAGTTCATTTCCTCTTGCTCGCTTTTACAAGTTTCACAAACTGAAACAGAACATCACACCTTTACGCACAGGCCTTCGAAAGACCTGCATTTTATAAATCACGTCTGACATTCATAAAATAACATCAGCATTTTTTCACTCACAGTAACAGAAACGGGATACAAGCTCCAAAAAAAATCCCCACACACCTGACCTCCTGTCCAGGAGGACCAATGGACAGGCCAATCCACCAGTCAGTCGGGCCCAGCGAGAGCTGAAGAGACACAGTAAACAGAAAATAAATGACAAAGAAAACTCGGGAGCCATCCTTCACCAGGCCGGAAGATTGGCTTTTCAGAGCTCCTGACATGAGGGGCCTTTCAGGCACCCTGCTTAGTCTGTTCTTGGCCTCTTTCACTGCCTTGTTTTGTTCTCATTATCCTCTCACAAGCCTCGACGCCACAAGAGACCTCTTTAGTCCGATCCAAAAGGCTTTTTGGGAGCGCTCGAGCATTAAAGGGTCCACATATGAGGCGCATTTTAGCTTGTCTCTATGCGTCTGTAAACACTCGAGTCAGGAAATCCATTGTGTTCATGCTTGTACAATCAGTGTGTGCATAAACTGTTTGAAGAATGGATGTAGTGGCCCATTCAATGGAGACAAACCTCTGTGATTAAGCGCATTCATTTGGCTTGTTTGTCTGGATCTCTGAAAACAAGAAAATGCCTCAAAAGGTCCTGATTTCACTGAAATCACTGCAATTAGGAAGTAGGATTACTCAGCTGGACCATTAATCCTAAGAGAATTAATAGTGTTTAACATTAGAAATCATTGAAAACACATCTTAAAGAAATATAAACCACTTTGCTCTGAGTTTCATTCATTTCTGTTTTCTTAAATTACATTTCAACTGTTTAAAAAAAATCTAGCCCTGGAGCCTCCTTGTAGATTCATCCAAAGTCAAGAGAGTGCTAGAGATGCTAGGAGCATGGTGAACGGTAGCTGTGAAATACCACATCGCTGATCTAAATATGGACAATCAGCATTCTCCATTAAGGCCTGCCATCTGTGAAATAAAGTAACACCAGTCACAAATATTACATCTTTCACAGTTCAGGTCAAAGGTTAGTGCTAAAAGCACATTTAGAGCTGCAGCCATTTTAATTAATTATACTAAAGCATCATAATCATCAAAATAAAATAAAAATGTATTTCCTTTTTTTGTATTTCCTAACAGTTTTGCTTTTTTGTTTCTCTGCAGCTAATGTGTATTTATTGTAGCTTTACAATATTAATGTATTGTGGATTTATTTAACTGAATACTTTCAATTTTATCTGGTTACTGTGGCTATAAAAGCCCAACAAGGTTTGGAAGTCAACAATAGCGACACAGTCTGTCTGTCTTTCATGTTCTGTAGTGGGGATATGTTAGACCTGCAACTTCAATAAATAAAATGTAATAACAATAATTAAAAAAGAACAACAACAGCCGATGCCACTTTGTTAAAAAAAATTGTCAAATTAAAATTATCTGATGCAAAATGTATACTGAGGGTCAGGTGTGATGCAGGGACAAAAAACAATTTAATACAATCAACTTTTTAGCCCATTCGAGCTTCATCAGGAGTATTAAAATGATCAAAATACGTTTTTTATATATATTTACTGTATTTATGTATGTATTCAATAAATTATTGAATAATTTTCCATTTGATTACATTTAAATTAAATTATTAAAGTGGTAGGAATTAGAATGTAATAAAGAAGAAATTGTGTAATATTTTAACTAATTGCATCAAATACTATTATAATACAATTAATGTTAGAAACAAATGCTAATAAATAAAATGCTAACAAGTAATCTGGAAATAAATTCTGTTACCACCTCAAAGTGATTATAAAAACTGATTTCTGAGGAATCTCATTATTTTGTCCCGTCTTTCTCCCCGAGCCTGCGATGGCCCCGCCCCTCCCTGAGCCTGGTTCTGTCTGAGTGAGTTTTTCCTTCCCACTGTCACCCAGTGCTTGCTCATAGGGGGTCATTTGATGATCTTTATTATTGTCGGGTCTTTATCTTGCAATATGTTTTTGTGATTTTTGCTAGATAAACAAAACTGAATTGAATTGAATTTAACAGGTTGTGAATTGAAAGATTTAAAGTAGAATCCATGTCTATGAGCAGCGGCAGTAACAGACCCGCCGCAAGCGTTCCTTGACAAAGTTGAGCTCCTCTTTGGAGTGAATGGACAGCAGATAGGCTCCCATCATCTGACATGCCAGAGAGACAGCTTGCCAGTCAAAGGGCTGCTTGGCCAGCAGGTACTCAGCTCCACGGTAAAACACCCAGGGCTCGCTCTCTGTGGCCGAGGACAAGCACAGAAACAGGACACAAATTCACGTAATAAGATAGGACTACATATAGACAAACTCCTGGCTATGACACAAATATAGAAAAAGTGGCTCTGGCTTAGCCTGCTACCAGAGCTGGATTTTATGCTCATTAAATGGTCGGTTAGCACTTTCTCTCAAAACTTTTTTTTTTAATCTAGCAGGTCACATGATAATGATGTAGTCGTACCCAGCAGCAGACTGTAGACACACAAAGGAAACCCTCTATGAAGTTCCCAAATGTTGAAACTAAAGACAATCTTTACTTACGCTCAGTGTACCAGTAGGGTTTGTTCAGTTTATCACCTGCAATGTAAAACAGAGTTTGGTAAATGATGCAGTCCTGATGTGTGTATAAGCAGCATGTGTGTGTAGATAGTGCAGGTGAATGTGTTTGTGCGTGTTTACCTCTGGAAAGCTTACAGACCCACTCGTGTTTGGAGTCGCACAACTGCGGCATGAACGTGTTGGTCAGGTCACTGTACGCAGCACAGTCCCTCCTGTCATCCTCCTCGCTCTTATCATCAATGAACGACGTCACCACCTGCACAAAGACAAATCTGTAACACTCCACGGAGCGTTGATGGGTCACCAGGACACTCCGTGAATGTCTCTGTGTACTCACAGGAGAACCATCAGACCACTCCCAAGCTCCGGCATATTCAGGGTCTCTCTTGTTTAAACCCACCCAGAACCGACGAACCTCTGTTCTGAAAAAAGAGAAGCACAGTACAAACACAGCCACAGATAAACGGGTCTTCTAACCTTTTAGGACTCGGATATTCGGCAATGATTTTCCTCCCATCACCCCTTGGAAGACTGTCTAGCCTTTGTGAGGAGAAACAGTTTCCCTTGTTTTATATTTTGGATTTAGCTGTAGATTTAATCTCATCATTTCCATCTTATTTGGATTGTGCAGTTTGTTGCCACAGAGCCAGGCAGTTCTCCTAGAAGTGAAAGATCCTCCGTCTACAAATGATCTTCAATTAAAATCCTCAAAACCCATCAAAGTCTTTGCTGTGCAAAACAAAACTGTATATATACATCAAAATAGATAAGTGCTACAGGGTTTACTATTCAAAGTCTCGTCTTTCTGAGATTTACCCACAAGTGATGGATCAGTGTGAGAGATGTCATGCCCCCCCCATGTGACCTAGGTCACATGTTCTTTCTGTCCCCAAGACTCCATGGCTTCTGGAGTCAGTTATTCTTTCCAAGGCTCTTGGGACCCAAATCTGCACGGACCCTGTTCTAGCTGTTTTTGGGCTTCCAGTCAACACTGGTCTAACCGACCCTACACACTTCAAAATATTAGCCTTTACATCACTTTTGGCTAGACGTTGCATCTTACTCCTTTGGAAATCTTCAAAGCCACCTTCAGTTTCCTTTTGGTTTAGAGATGTGATGTCATTTTTTAAATTGCAAAAGATAGGCCTTGTGGCGAAGGGCAAATACAGAGAATTTTATCGTATCTGGGGCCCCTTCGTAAACTATTGCAAGTAATTAAACGTTCTACCAGCTGATTAATATCTTAGTTTTTGTTTTGTTTTGTTTGTTTTTCCTCAATTTTATGTGTGTGTGTGTATTATTGTATCTGTTCATGTAAGAAAAACTAACAAATATGTGAGGGGAACATTTATATACATCAATAAAAACATTTATATAAAATAGATAAGTATGTTTTTTGTAATGATCAGATTGACAGCTGTGCGCTATTTTAAACTGAGATTGTAAAATGGACTTGAATGTGTTAATTTCTTTTTGGTTTCATCCTCTGCAGCACAAAATAAACCTTGATTCATTTTTTTCCCAAGACCTAGAAATGAAGTCATAGCCCACCCCCTTAGCAACACTGCATTGGCTGACCATTTGTTTCATGTTTATATTTCCGAGCTGCTGCCACAAAACAAACATGAGAACCTGATGACTGTTTTTCCGTTTACATGTAAAAATAGACAAATGTATGACTTCAGGGCTTCAAAGTCCTGGCCTGCTCTGATCTACATGAGAAACTCATTTTACAACTTGTGTCTGCACATTTTTTAAGCTTAATGTAAAACATATTTTTAAGAAAACATGAACCAAAAAAAAAAGTCAAAGTGACCCCAAAGACATCCTGAGATTAATTATCTCTAATTTGAGTGACGTCTTTCTTACATGAATCTGAGAAATATGCGTCAGAGAGTTAAATCAGTCTTATCTGGAAATGAAGACGCCCTCATGTAACTTCAGAATCTGCGGTCACCTTGTCCTTGTTCTTGATATCGAGATTGCTGCGTTAAATAACTTTTCAAATCTAAGTCTCCTACACACAACTAAACAACTAACACCATAAAAAAGGTGGACATCTGCTCTCCAAAACCAAATAATTAAACTCTATATTCACTGCTCCAAGCACATAAAACAAAATCATCTCAATCGTCCCATAACATTCCTGTACTGATGAGTACCAACCCTTCAAACATGGTACTGAGGAGCTGTTTAACAAACACCTGCTCCTCATAGTGTTGGAAACTGGCCAGCTGAGCCCCGAGGGCCTGACAGAAGAAGTCTGCTTCCACCCAGGAGCGCTTCATCAGGACTTTCTCACTGTGGAACACCTGGAAGAGCAACACTTGGAGTCAGCTGAGGGTTACAGGGTCCAAAGAACAGAAATGTATCCCATTATGTGCTCGTTGCTCGGAAACATGCTGATAGCTGGGGTACAATTTGGCAGTGGGGTGTTATGTCTAAAAATAATGGTTTATTCCATCCCGCTTTTGATTTGTAGCGCTGCGTCAGTTTTATAGTAAGATGTGCTGCATTTTAACTATTTTTTCAGCTATTCCACACCTTTTTCTATAAACAAGAAAGAGAGGAAACATATCAAAACATCAATCCTATTAGCAATCATGATGTATGGCGGGGATAGACAAGTGGTTTACACATCTGCCTAACTTCCTAAAGGTTCCAGTTTGAGACCGGGGTGGGGGGGACACTGATCCTGCTGTGAGTTGCTTCAGAAGGGCAGCGTGGTGTAAACATGTGTTAAATCAAATATGCCGCGATCCCTCGTTTATAAGGGAACAGCTCAAAGAAGATGTTCATAGAAGGCAGGCAACAACAAAATTATAGCCATCCGGGGGATGGGTTTTCAATAAAACCAGTGTGGGAGTGCAGTACTGATCAAACAAACACACACTGAGACGCATTTTCAGAGCTGGGATAGTAAGCTGATCGACTCATTAGTCAAGCGACAGACAGTTAATAAGCTCTAGACCCTAAAATGTCTTTTAGGATCTGTCTATTGTATTGAAGTAAATATCTTGCAGCTGTAAACTGGAGTAAACAGATACTATAGGAGACATTTTAACTGATAATGAAAATAACTATTAAATGTAGAGCTGGTTGAAATTGGAAATCAGGAAAATAAATTGCCTGTCAGTGTGAATGTGTGAGACCCCAGGTAGCCCTGCCTGTTGCATAGTGCATGATGGGATAGGACACCGTCCCCAGTGACCCTTAGCGTGATAAACAAAACAAAAAAGCAAATATCCACATCAGATAGAGTGCATGGTGATTTGTTTAGTGTTATAAAAAATAGGAGGATAATCTAACCTTAAAGCAGTGGAGCAGCCCAGAGTTTGATTCCCACCCTGGGGGGCACGGGGCGTAGGCATCAATGTGATGCTCTGGCAGCTGAACATCATGGTAGCTCCTGATGTTCTGCTTACACACAGCCAAGGCCTTGTGAACCTTGCAGTCTTTCACCTCCCAGCGGCCCAGAGCAGGTCCTCCTGACATAGCGACACAGCCACCGGTGCTGACTAGTGAAAGCAGAAGATGTAGGAGTTAAAAAAAAAAGAGTGAAAATGTTTACGAATCCGATTTTATTACTAATGTCAAATTAAAAAACAAACATTTCCAAACACTGGGCTACCTGGCTGGTGTTTATTCCAGTTTGTGAAGGTGAGAGGCAGAGAGGAGCCGTTATGATGAAGCCATCTGTACTCTCCCTTCCTCCCCTGGTCCTGGTCCCTGAGACCAATCCAGTAATACATGCTACTTTTGGCCCCACTTTCACTCAGCAGACTGTTGACAAACGCCTGCTCAAACCTGCCAGCAGGTGGAGCAAGAGAGGAGAAAAGTAAGAAGACTAGCAAAATGTGAGTAAAAACTTAAAATTACAAATTCAAAAATGAATTGATAAATCACCTGTTTTCCACAGTGAGAAGAGAACCCTTGCAGTAATACCCCATCAGGGCATCTTCGTAGCTCTGTTCTTGACCTGTCACCATGTAACAGGAATGGCCGTGCTTCTTCCAGCCCTAACCCCCCCCACAAAAACACCCGTTATCAGGCTCTCTCTCACTGCTTAACTCCAAATAAGAAAAATACATATTTATAGGTTAGACATATTTTGCCTTTTGTCATCATTGTTCACATTTCAGCCCTCCTGTTCAATAAACTATCTAAAGAGCAGCGATAGAGGTAAATATGCATGGTGCTTCTATTTGCAGATTGTCGGGTTTTGCCTCATGTGCTTTGCTCTACAGCTTTCCATCTGTTACTCGCTGAAATGTCCCTGATGCCGTAACAGGTTAGATTAATGAGGCTGAACAATCATCCCCTCATGCCACTGATTCGAATCCAGGTTTAGCCAGAAGCTTAACAGGAGCTGACATTTTGGTTGTTGCCTACAGCTGTTTGTAGGAGTCTTTTCCCCCGTCTTTATTAAATCGAGGCAGCTCTTATAAAGCAACGGGATTTTCTGAGACAGAAAGCTGAAAGGTATATTTAAGCACATGGCACAGCAGCTATTATTTACTTATAGTGAATAATGATCCCTGACGTGTAGACACGAGTGGTCAGGACCTCAGTACAGACTGCAACAGAATATGGCTTTGTATACATTTCTGTTATGGTAATGTGAGTAAAAGTATGACAGTTTCACACATACAGTCCTGTTCCACTTTATTAGGCAAACCTCAACTGCTCATTAATGCAAAGATCTAAATGCAACTCAGTGTATTTAGTCCTGTGGACATGGTCACAATGACCTGCAGAATTCAAACTGAGCAACACAGTAGAGAGAAAAGGTGATTTAAGTGACTTTAAACGTGGCGTGGTTGTTTGTGCCAGATGGGCTGGTTTGAGTATTTCAGAAACTGCTGATCTGCTGGGTTTTTTCCCACACAACCATTTCCATGGTTTACATAGAACGGTCCAGAAAAAAAGAGAAAATATCCAGCGAGCAGCAGTTTTCTGGGAGAAAATGCTTTGTTGATGTTAGAGGTCAGATGAGAATTCCCAGGCTGCTTTGAGCTGGTAAGAAAGCAAAAGTAACTCAAACAAACGCTCGTTACAACCAAAGTATGCAGAAGACCATCTCTGTATTTGCTACACATCATAGAAAGTTGAAACAGATGGGCTACAGCAGCAGAAGACCACACTCGAAGCCGCTACTGTTAACCAAAAAACAGAAAAATTAGGTTTTCCAAAACACAAGACTGGAAAAAACGTTGCAGTTATTGTTTTGGTGCTTGGAACTGATCTTTGGTTTTACCGCAGAGGCTGTAATCTCTAATTATCATGCTCGATCGGTTGCTGTAGTTAGATATACGGTTATTACACACGGACGATACATTCAGGGCTTAGAAAAAAAATGAAGATTTTATTAACAGATCAGTCAGCACAAGTGAACAACTGAAATCTGTCTGTAGCTTTCGAGGAACTGAAAGGTGGCACTGATCACTCAGAGATAGATAGGGTGACTGACTAATTTCAAAACCGATATAGATATTTGGTGACATAAGAAGACAATATGTCAGCTGATATCTTTTTCTTTCAGACACATGAAACATAAATAGATTTTCCTACCATTTGTTATGTGTTGCTATTTATGAGTCCTTGCTAAGATAAGACGACAGAGCAGTTTAAAAATAATCTAGTTTAATTGTTACAAGTTGTAGATTAGTTGTTTATGCTTTGCCTGACTCTGCTCTCATCAATCATCAGAATCAGAATCACAATACTTTATTAATCCCTAATGAAATTATGTGGTTACACAGATGAAATATATATGATTGACATTTTACTCTAACCTGTAAAACTTGTGATTTGCTATTTTGCTGTAGAGCGTGTGCAAAAGGATGTAACTATTGCACTCTGTAGTGTGGATTAGATGGGCAGGATTGATTTCCTGTGTTGTTCTTTGGTGCGTTTGGGTAATTTCAGTCTTTCACTGAATGTTCTCCTGTGACTGGCCAGCACGTCATGGAGAAGGTGGGAGGTATTATCCAGCATTGTCCTTATCTTGGACAACATCCGGATCTCCAACACCACCTTAAGGGAGTCTAGCTCCGTCCCCACAAGATTACTGGCCTTGTAGATACGTTTATCGAGTCTGTTGGCATTTGCAACCCTCAACCTGCTGGCCCAGCATGCACCAGCATAGAGGACAGCACTGACCACAACTGACTTGTAAATAATCCTGAGCATTGTCGGACAGATGTTAAAAGACCTCAGTCGCCTCCGAAAATAGAGACGACACTGGCCCTTCCAGTAGAGCGCAGTGGTGTTTTTAACCCAGTCCAGTTTATTATCTATGTGTAATCTGAGGTATTTATAGTCCTCTACAATGTCCACATCGACCCCTGGATTGAAACAGGGGTCAAGGGTTTCCTGGTCCGCCTGAAGTCCACAATCAATTCTTTGGTCCAACACGCAGACTGCTTCTTTTAGCAATATAGTGTAACTAATACTGGCTGATAAATAAGTCAAACGATATGTCTTTATCATTCTGTATAATACGATAATTTTTAATTCTACAACTGTAGAACTTAATTCTACATACCATAATAGACCCATTTCTGTAATATACTTACATATCTATATTATTGCTAATATTTTGTAATATATCTATATCATGGCTAAAGCACTTCTGGATGGATGCAGACTGCATTTCGTTGCCCTGTACCTGTGCATGTGCAATGACAATAAAGTTGAATTCTATTCTATTCTATTTATTAAAGCACTCAACAATCATATTTCTGCCTTATAAAAATCGCACTTAAGCCAGTTATGTTAAATAAAATATCCTTTTGACATAACTGCTAAAACTCACCTGTTACATCTGTTCTAACATGATAATACTGTAATAATATGCATATCAGCAAGAACACACGCCTGTGTGTGTGCGTGTGTGTGTAATGTGGTGAGCGTGCTTGGACAAGAGGTGAGAAAATCCCCACATCCCCCCCGTCGCTCCTGTTTCCTGTCTAGTTTGTTTTGATTCTTTAAATATTGTCCGAAAAATTCACAGACTACTCGAGCATGTCCACTGATACTGTGTCATCGGGGTAATTTCTGGCCTCCTGTTTCAGGGCATGAAGCACCCTGATGACTCAGGAGTCTGATATTCCTTTGAACACAGTCAAGGAGCAACATGCATGCCAGACAACACGTCAGAGGTTGAATGAGTCAGCTAATTGTGCATTTGAAGGAGCAGAATGCCCAGAAATTGAACCACAGCAGACATGTGGCACTTTCTAACGCAAGTCCTGATCTCTGTGGAGCTATTTTAATGCTACACAGCACACAATATGCCTGAAAAACTAGAAATAAGTTGTTTTTTTAGTGTCAAGTTTCTCATCAGAATGAAAAAAAATCTAAATACTTAAATATTATATATTAATATTAATTTTTACAATGTTCACTATGTAGCTATTTTTTACTGTAAAAAAGCAATACTTTCATGTTTGAAAGTTAAGACAAGTACCCTAATGATTCAGTTCTAACCCCAAGTCTTGTAGATGTTTCTTTTGATTTCTCAGCTTTGCCCTGCTGCGAGTAAATGTTTATCGGAGGTCGTTTTAGTGTCATGCCGTCATATAATGTGACAAAGTTTAAAGCTCACATATTGCCAAAAGATGACTTCTCTTATCTTGCTCAAAGAAATCGCACATTTGAACTTGTGTGTGTTTGTGGATATTCTTGTTTCCCTACCTCAGGACAGCCCTCCTCCCAGGTTCCGTGGTGCTGAACGCCATTCTGGCTCTCTCTTCTGCACACAGCAGCCAGTCGCTCGTCACATGACGCTAGCAGCCAGTTGCCACTCTGTGAAAGATGTTTTCAAAGATGATGCGTTCCGTGATGAATGCATTCAAACATTATAAAGTGATTAACCCTGACATAATTAGATGGTTAATTTATTAGCTGATTGACAGAGAATAAATTGGCGGCTATTTCTGTAGCTTATTAATCACGAGTCCATTAAAACCTGCTTTAATGGAGTCAGATGGAAATGCATTCAGCTACTGAAAAATGAGATTGGCACTTTTCCTGGTAATAGATTAGGGTGAAATATCCTTTGTTCAACTGTTGCTAATAATAAAAGGCTAGAAGTGGGCATATTTAACATTTCATTTAATTAGATGTTTGTTTGTTTTTTAAACGGGCAGCTTAATCAGAAATGTAAATACTGCAGCGTTCTTACACCAACACAGGGTTTCCCACCTTCCTGTCCACTTTGGTACACAGTGTTCCATCCGTCAGGTTATGAAGAGGATGATACTGGTGCCAGAGAGTGAGAGTTACTGGTGAGCCATCAGACCACTCTACAGCTGGCAATAACGCCTGTTTCCAAAGTCCAATCCACACCTCTGTACTCCCCCCAGAATCTGTCAAATATGAGATATGAGGACACACACACACACACCGCAGAATTTAGCATTTAGGGTGGATAACAAACACAGCACGAAATATCTGGATTGCATAACACTCCTTACAGTTAGCCAGGAGGTTGACCAGCATTTCCACCTCAGACAAGGAGTGGATGCTGGTGAGATTTGCCCCGTAAGAATGACATTCCTGAGAAGACTCCTCCCAGCTTCCCGCTTCTGCTTCTGGCAGCACTCGGTAGCAAAAACCATTGTGAGGCCACCAGCCATCCGCACACTCGGTATCGATATACTGCCAGTTCTCTGCAAAGGGAGAGGAGACATAAGCCAGACCAGAATATTCAAAGCTGCAGACATTATTTTTGGTCTAGCTGCCAACAGCGCAACACAGAGGAAGGCCAAAGGTTCAGCCCCCAGGTGCAGTGCAGCTGCCCAGTCACGTTCTAAGGGCATATTCACACTGGACGCAGCTGCCTTGTACTGAGCTCGAGCACGACTGTTTCCTGTCCACATTCCTCCCCTGGCTTGCACTCTCACTGCCCTATACTTTTTTTTAAATTTCTTACTTAAAAAAGCAGTATTTACAGATGCAGCTATGGCTGTGGAAACATCTGAGATCCATGTTGGGGCATGGATAGAGTCATGTGCCAGAGTCCAGCTGAACTGCAGCTGGTCTTACCCTCACAACTCAAACAAACTGGATTTTGGGGGTTCAGATATGTGAGGGCACAGCACAGCACAGATACCTCCAAGGATGCAGAGAGGTCTCCAATATGTTTGTGTCTCCTGTGCGTTAACATGTTCTCACCTAGTGGCTCAGCTCCACGCGTGTCGTTAGGTGTCTTCTTGCAGATGTAAGGAAGAGCAGATTCACAGGATAGACTCTGCCAGTGACCCTCGAATCCTGAGTACACCCCACACTGTTTATTGTCCTGTAGCGGGCTGGCTGGGAGATCTGACGGGCACAAATGGTAAAAAAAAGCTTTGTTGGCTTTATTTCCTCATCAGTTACACAAGTTAAAGTTTTGCAGCTAGACATATTTAAACATTAAAGTGTTAACATGGAAGGATGTTTAAGTCCTGACAGAGCTGTCGATGTACATCAGATGAAAAGGCTATTTTAGATTAAACTTCTATAACATAGGTTTTATAAAATAAGTCTTTTATGCTTTATTTTCATGATAAAATTACTTCTTTTTTGCCTTTGTTGGAGAGGCATTTCTAATATTCTCATTAGTGAAAATGTGGGGTACTTTTTAAATTTCCCTCTCACTTGGTCCTGGATAAACCAGTAGTCAGTACCTGTGGTGAAATTCACCAGTGACAGAGGGGCTCCGTCAGACCACTGCCATCCATGCCCATCCTTAATGTGGTTCAGCCCGGTCCACACCATCGCCCCAACGCTCGCCATTCGATCTACCACAAGATGCAAACACAGAAAAGTGTTGTAGTAGTTCTTAAAATACACTTCGGACATAACTGAATATACACTCATGGGACACTTTTTTAGGTACACCGGTTTAGCTGCTTGTTAATGCAAATATCTAATCAGCCAATCACATGGCAGTGACTCAATACATGTAGACGTGCACATGCTCACGAGGATAATTAGAATGGGGAAGAAAGGTAGTTTAACGAGAATGTATGGATGAAAATGCCTTTGTGATTCCACAGGTCAGCAGAGAATGATAAGACTGCTTTGAGCTCATAGGAAGGCAAGAGTAACGCAGGTAACTGCAACAAAGGTATGCAGAAGAGCATCTCTGAATGCACAACACTACAGCAGCAGAAGACCACGCTGGGTGGCACTCATCCTAGATAAAAACAGTTCTAGTGTCTTTTTTAACATGTGCGGTACCTCTGATATACTTCTGCTCTGCCAGGCTGGTGATGCTGAGCAAATTTCCACCTTGGGCCTGGCAGGTAGACAGCGCCTGACTCCAGGTTTGGATAGTGTACAGGTTGAACTGGTAACATGCGCGCAACTCCTGGTTTGACTCCCAGAAGTGCTCACAACCGGAAACTATGAAAAAACAGACAAATGAAAACAAAGGTAAAGTGACAAAGATAGCATGAGCACGCAGCAACAACGGCCTGTGATGACTTGTCTTCCTTTCTTGCACTGGTGTGTCTGTGTGTCTGGTTTACCTTGCACTGGACAGAAGCCCCATCTTTCGCCTTTATCGTAGCGAGAGGTGGCTGAGCACCACAGAAGGTGGTCCTCACGCCCCTCAGTAGTACACTCAGAGTACCATTGGTTGTTGTATTTAAAAGGAAAGGCACAAGGCATTCCATGTGCATTCCCCAACAAAGTGTGGATATCTGTAAAGAAAACATGTCAAGTTTCACTTGAGGTCAGAAATATCTTGTGCAGACAAGGCACACAGGAAGTTTTGGGTTGGTTACCTTCATATGGATATGAGCAGGGACCCTCTCTGGGAGTGTTGTACCTCTTCCACTGATGGTAAATGTTTTTCTTTACCGCCACTAAACCTCGAACCACAGTCACCCTCCACTGGGACGCTCCATACAGCGTGTTTCCGCTGCAGCGCCACCACAGCACGGGGAGGGACACATCGCACTCGAACATCCCGAGGGGCTGCGTCGAGTCGGAAATGTTGAGGCCCAGGCACGCGCTGGTGCCCAGATTAAAGAGACGATGCTGGGAGACCCACTTCCACAGCATGCGGCGCGTCGGACGCTCGCAGTCCTCCAGCACTAGTTTCGAGCGATTTGCTGAGATGCACTGCTTCAGCGGCTCACTCTCCAGGATAAACAGACCTTTCTCTGGTAGGAAGTGATTGAGAGACGAGGAGAAGCGGATAAAACGGGGCAATGTGGGGCAATTCATGTGAACGTGTGCCGTAAACAACAGGGAATGCATTCAGCTTCAGAGATCAAAAAGTAAAGTACAAAGACATGCTTTTCCGCATTTCCATATCTGACGGAGCAATATTCAAGCTCGAGGAAGGCCTTGTGTTTAGAAACAAATCATGGTCTTTTGTAACTGGATACTCAAACAAAGAGAGAGGATGATTCCAAGCAGCGGAGATGAAAAGAGTGTGAATGAATCATCTCTTCCTGCATCTTGCTAGTTTGTACAGACAAAGAAAATCAGTAATATATGTTACCGGATCTAAAACAAATAACTAAAATTGTTCGCTGAGAATTTACATGGCTCAATTGGTTTGAAAAAAAAAGATGCTGGTGTGCACATCCATCACCAAAAGGGCATTTTCAGTGTCCAGATATTCTTCCTCTGCGTTTTTAATGTGCACACTGTATTTGATTGCATTCTGGACGAGAACATGGGCTGATCTGAACAAAAGTGAACAAACTGTGGTTGCTGCTCATAACTTTCCTTACAGTTCAGTAAGTTGCAGATATTTTTGACTAACTCGTCGTTTAAACATGCCCAGATCTTCACCTTTAAGAAGCTGGATATGCCAATATGATGCAAAGCTCTCTAAAACGCGGGGATGTAAGATGGCGAAAGATGGAGAAAATCAGCACAGTCTCACACATGCAAAGGTGAATGTTTGACATTTTCCCAGAATAACCTAACTGCTTATCACTCGAATGACTCACTGGCCTATTGTGCTCATAATAAACAGACTGCATGCTCACATGCACACACACACACACACACACACATACAAACACGGGGGGGGGGAATTGAGAAAAAAAACAGTAAGAAATGTGAGCCTGGTGCAGCTGTGGGGTTCAAACTGTGGTCCACAGACCTCTATTCAGACCTGAGGAGAGTTTAGGTGAGTCTTTAGATCACCCCCTCCATGCACAATTCCCTGATGTTAAACAACATCTTCATGAAATATGAAAAAAGGGAACTACTACATGCGTTATGCGTCCCATCATGTAGGCAATTAAACTTCTACTAAGGGACCAGCTGGTAACTTACTGTAAAACTCCACGAGCTGTTTTTTCTCCAGGACTTCATCGTCCTCGTCTTCAGTGACACACACACAGCTTTTCGCCAACAACACAGTCACGCAAATAATCGCCAGAACAGGCGCGGAGTCCACGCAGCGGTACAACTGGATGAACATTTCGACAGCGGGATGCAGCGTTGGAGAGCCAATGTCCGCACATTCCGAAGATCAGAGGCGCAGGGGGTGTTTTGGGGGTTTCTTTTTTTCCCCCTTCTTCTTTCTTTCTTTCCTCCCCTCGTACAAAAACTTCCTCCGTCGAGTCTGGTTTTTCAGCGGGGAAACAGCGACGTCACGTCTGACGGAGGAGCCGCTGCTGTCCGGCCTGAAAGCTGCATTCCTGCCGCTCAGGACTGTTTTCGCTGGGGCAGAGCCACAAGTCTGTATTTAGACTTGACCGAAGAAAAAAACAGACAGAGGGCAGACAGACAGTTTGTCTGTAAGCTGTGTAAAGTACATGACTGTGAACAGACTGCTCTCAGGTAAACTACACACAGCAAACTGTAGCCTACAGTTGTGTCATGTCTGGGACAGGCACTCAGATATCAACAAGTACTCTGGAGTTAGGCTATGCTAAGAAAATCTATCTTTCATATTGCCTCTGTTATGTATATTTAGAGTTAACAAAAGACTTTGTATGCTTGTCACAATGTGTAATGCCTCCAACACATATAACACGTAAAAAACAAAAAACAAAAACAAAATTAAGCGTACAGGTTTTGGTGTGACCTGTAAAGGTACACAACTTTGGAATAGCTAAAAACACCTATAACAGCACTTGCGCTAAAATATGTCTTATACTGCACCTTGTATGGCAAGGGTCTCTCAAAAGTTTTAACAGCTCTCTATGTGAAGTTTATGGTATTATTTTTTTTGTGCCACTCTCTGGATGTATTGGATTAGTGTTATTTTTATGATAGGATTCCTCTGGCAATTTTAGGATATTGAGTCATTTATGTTGGGATTCACGTATATCTTATTTGCGCTGAATCCTCCTCTGTTCCAGCCCCGTTCCCCATTCCCTCATCCCTATGAAACCTGCTCCTTTATACTAAGTTAAAGGTTGTGTGTGAAAGGAATTTCCCATCTGTGGGGATAAATAAAGCACCCTAGCTTATTGCAATTTCAGTCAGATTTGCAAACAAGTAATCAAACTGACACACATTGAATAAAGGGCCTTAGTATCCAGGGCAAGTTGCCTTGTTAAAAAATGGAAACCCTGAGCACTGTGTGATCCCACTGTAAGCAAAATAAATTTTAAATTTTGTTTCTTGCAGGTAAATCAAATCAGTCTGCTCACTCTTTGTGAGAACTGTGTTGTAACCTGCAATTAAAACCCAAATTGCAGAGGAGTCATTTCAAAAATGCCAAATCCAACTTTAATTATGTGCCACATACCATTAAAAAAAACCCTCAGAACAACAGTTATTAAAATTAAAGGCTCAGCCTTGTTTTACAGTAAAACAATCGACACATTATTACCAAAAAAACATCTCTTACACCTGTATATTTATACATTTTCATTCAGTAGTAGATCACTTGTAGTGTAGACTTCTCCTTTACCAAGTTGCAAGTTGCAGTACATGTAGGGCCATGCAATAGAAATGTCCAGTGTTTGACAGTACAGTGCACTTCTACAGCAGCAAATTCATCTCGCAGTGTTTGTCTGTTCACAGTGTTGTCTACTGTGCTAGGACATCTCTGAATTAACACAGGGATTCGTACAAAAACTATTCTCTGTCTCATACACACACAAAGTCACACACTTAAGTGCACTCAGACGCATCCAGTTCGTCATCAGTAGTGATTCATTGTGATAGTCTTTTCTTTCTGTGCATTTTTATAAGTTACATTTCTGTATGTAGATGTTGAGCTCCTGAACAGAGGGTTGGTCCCCTGAAAGAAAACAAAGAAAGAACACAATGACGTTTAGATTTTTACAGATGCCACAGAAAGATCAAAACCAACAACACACTAGTCCTGTAAACCTTCCAAACTGCCTGAAGCTCATTTGGCCCAAATCAGAAATCTCAGTGAGCTTGTTTAATGTTAAAGTTAATGATAGCACAGTTTAAAAAAAGACTGAACAAGTATGGAAGGGTTGCAGTAGAAGCCTCTTTTTCTCTCTAAAAAGAACACGGCAGCACAGTTTAGGTTTGCAAAGTTGCATGTGAACAAACCACACGGTTTCTGGAACAATGTCCTGTGGACAGATGAGACCAAAGTGCAGATGTTTGGCTGTAATGCACGGCACCACATTTGGAAAAAACAACAACACAGAATATCAGCACAAACACCTCATACCAACTGTCAAACAATGTGGTGGAGGGGTGATGATTTGGTCTCGGTTTGCAGTCGCAGGACCGGGGCACCTTGCAGTCATTGGGTCCACCATGAACTCTTCTGTATACCAAAGTGTTCTAGAGTCAGATGTGATGCCATCTCTCTGACAGCTAAAGTTTCAGAGAGATGGCCCAAGTGGTAAATGGCCTGTATTTATATAGCGCTTTTCTAGTCCCTAAGGACCCCAAAGCGCTTTACATATCCAGTCATCCACCCATTCATGCACACATTCACACACTGGTGATGGCAAGCTACATTGTAGCCACAGCCACCCTGGGGCGCACTGACAGAGGCGAGGCTGCCGGACACTGGCGCCACCGGGCCCTCTGACCACCACCAGTAGGCAACGGGTGAAGTGTCTTGCCCAAGGACACAATGACCGAGACTGTCCAAGCCGGGGCTCGAACCGGCAACCTTCCGATTACAAGGCCCAACTCTTGAGCCACGATCGCCCCAGTGATCCCAAGTAGATCAGTAAATCTACAACAGAATGGCTGAAACCAAAGTCCAGACCTCGACCTGCCTGAAATGCTGTTACAGTAACTTTTCAATTCTATTCTATTCTATTTTATTTATATAGTGCAAAATCACAACACCAGTCAGTCACCTCAAGGTGCTTTATATTGTAAAGTAGACCCTACAATACAACACAGAAAACCCCAACAATCACACGATACCCTATGAGCAAGGCGACAATGGAAAGGATAAACTCCCTTTTAACAGGAAGAAACCTCCAGCAGAACCAGGCTCAGGGAGGGGCGGCCCCAACCTGCCGCGACCGGTTGGGGTGAAGGGAGGAAGATAAGACAAAAGACATGCTGTGGAAGAGAGCCGGAGATTAATAATAACTAATGATTAAACCCAGAGACGTGTATAAACACATAGAGAGTGGAAAAGGTGACTGTGCATTAATGAATACCTACAAGCCCCAATGACCTGAAGCACAGTTGTAAAAAACAGTGGGCAAAAATTCCACCGCAACAATCTTAGAGACTGATAAAGTCACACAGAATTTTTTTCTCTATTTGTTGCTGCCAAAGGTGTTTCTACAAGCTACCGAGTCACGGGATGTATGTCAGTGAATATTAGTGGGAACAGTTTAGTTATGAGAGATACTTCGCCATCAGACTTTGTCCACCCTTTTGAATATCTAATGAATGTCTAATACATTATTTTGCTTTTTAATTATTCATCTGAGCCCAACAAAAAGATATTAGAAAGAATAAAAGCGAAGTCATCCACGGTCTTACCGACTGCCAGTTTGCCTTTGCCCTTTCAGCCTCAAACTTGGCCACCTCCTTTTGGTCATGGACTGACACTAACACCTTCCACACACCCAGCAGGATCAGGCCGATACAGACGACAGAAAGGGAGACCCCGAGAAGAATCATGGGGATGTTGGGTGGCTCTGGACATCCTGAGACAGGACATGAGAGCGAGATGAGACTTGCACCGGGAGTATCTTTCACTTTAGTCGTCTACGTTGGTGTCAAGCTTACCGTACATCTGCAGATCATAGGCAGTGGTGTCCGTCTCACCTTCCACCACTTTAAATGACGCCCAGCACTCGTTCTTCATCATAAACGTGCACGACATAGAAGGACTCTTGTCATAATCTGTGAGGAAATGTGAACATACATATCCATAAGGTAAGGCTATCATCTTCCCTTTGACATTGTGCTGAGAATGTCAGATGATATACTCTGCTCTGTTGTGCTGTCAGTGTGACTTCATTATCTAAGACTAGAATCTGGTGTGTGTGGACCGAACCATTGTGTTTCACATCTGAAGCTTGAAAATCTTCTGTGATAATCAGATATGCCTCTCAGCTTGCACAAGTACAGCGGCTTTAAAATCAACTCCTCTACAAAGGAAGACCAGGTTCTTTGGCTATTCACAGGCACCATAATAGCTTTGCCTGTACAACAAGGTAAATAATATGTTCCCCATTGTTCCACACTGCCCAAAAGGACATGGATGGCGTTGTGTTAGAGAGGGGGGGTGCAGACTTCACAGAGACACCCGAGTCAATGGAGGTCAGCATTCCTCCAAAGCAGCGACCCTGGCTGAAACTTAGCAGGCCTCTGTGTTGATAGCACCACCATGAATAAGAACCCTTGCAGGACAGGGAGGCAAAAACTTGATGTTATTTGATTTTAATATATTTTGCTTGGTTTTAAGGAGTTGCTACATTTTAGCACATTTAAAAAAAGCTATTTTAAATATTTTGCTCCTGGCCATTCTTCAAAATATGTCATATATGTTTTGAAGGTTTTCTTTCATTAATTACTATTTACCCACTAAGGGGCGTTAACCTGCATAGACTTAAAACCTGCATGAGATCCAGTATCTCTTGGTGGCAGTTAAAAACCAGCTTTATTTGATTGATTTGAATCAATACCAGTAACTAAGGATTGTTAACATGCATAGACTTGAAACATTCGTTGACAGTTGCAAGCAGGTCCTGTTTTGCAAATTCTTCCTTGTGAACATCATACAAGAGAGTCTGATATACAGATTTAGGTGTCAAATTGCCGTTCACCCCACAGCGAGTTTGTGAACATGAATTGCAAAAAGTAACCAAACAGAAGTGAAAAAGCAATTTCTCTCAACAGTCAACAGGCTGTCCTTCTAGCTGTGGATTCACACAGTTTTCATACCGTCGCTTGCAGTGTATTGTACTATCAGGCCAGAGAGACCTGTGGATTTAAAGGTGTCACAGGACTCAAACAAAAGCACTCAGAGAGCGCAACTCCCTCTGAAGGGCAAGGGCTACACTAAAACTTTTTATGCCATCATTGTGACCTTGTAGAGCGTCATATTGAAAAAAAAAAAAAGACAAGTTTTATACAGCCCTATGCATGTCCTTCAACTAATATATTACTTGATGTGGTTTCTTGAAACTTTGAAGTTGACCTTGAAAATTTTCAAGGTGAAATTTGACCTTCAGTGCTGACAATGAAGGTCAAGGTCAAAT